GTAGCTCTATTTGAATAGTCAGAACATGAAATTTGCAGTATTTTTAGCTGCTGTTACAAAAATTGCATAAAGATTGTACCAAAAATTATTGCATCACAAAAAGATTTGATTAATTATTTATCTAACTGTTAATCTCTTCTTTCAGTCTGAATCTAAATATACATATGAATATAGATAAACAAATATATATAAATGTACGTATACATATATATAAATAAAATAAAAATTATAAATATATTATATATATATATATATTATTATTAATTAATTAATATATATATATATATAATTATATATTATAATATATATATATATAATTAATAGTTATATATAAATATATTATAAATATAGATAAATTTTTATATCGACAACAACAAAGAATAAATCAAATCAAACTAACAATAAAATTTCTAATATACAGTCAAATATACACGCCATGAATAGCTCACAGTATTTTGTTCAATGACGAGCATAACGAAGAGAATAATCTAATAGTGAAATTTCTAATATTCAAATTGTAATCGTGTAATACTCCGGACGAAGTAAGCAGCGCGAAGGTTGCATGAATACGTTACGCGAAGAACAATGTGCATCGCTGAAAGTATTTTTCAGCGGACGAAACCGTGTAACAAGAAAATCTTTGGTAACAAATGAGAAATGTGAATTCTTACTCAGGAATAATTCAATGCGTAAATGGAGATGCATTATTTATGAACGTAACTATGCGGGGTGAATTAGTATGCAGATTATGTTATTGTATATATGCATTTACATGTTCGACGATACTCTCGAAGCCCTCCATTTTTAATTTCATTTTCCTATCGCGTTACGTTACATTCAAATGAAATGATAACATAGTATGCAGTACGAAGATTTTGTGCTCGTTAGGAGAAATTTGATTTCTGGATTGCATGTTCATGAAATTCGATCATGGCCACTGATTTTTTAACTCTGGTCGTTTCGTGGCAGAATGTGTATATGTTTAATCGATACATTTACCAAATAATACGAATATTGTATTATGTTCTATTCTATTATTATTTATTTTTATTATCGAATTATATTACATCCGTGCTGAATAATTATATATCATTTTGTTATTAGATATTTTTAAATTATTTTATTACGTCTTATTATTATGTTATTACATACTTTATTATATTGTATTATCATATTACAATATATTTTATTATATTATTGCAATATAATTATATATATATATATATTATAGTATATGTATATAAATAATATATATGTATATAAATATAATAATATATTATATATTATT